CCTGAAGACCAGCGGAAACGAAACAAGACCCCGGACTCGGGGTGCGGGCATGCCCTCGGTGGCACTCGGATCGGCCACGCAGCCAGGACCGCATTGCAGTAAAGTGTCCGGCCTGCCGGGCTTCCCACTTGCAGTAAAGTGTCCGGCCTGCCGGGCTTCCCACTTGAGGAGGACGAGGAGGAGGAGGAGGAGGATGACTCAAATCACGAAGACCATGCAATGCAACAGCGCCTGGATACTGTATCAAATAAAGAAAACAACGGCCGCGTGAGACAAGAACTGGCGATGGCGCCGCGCAGGCATGCAAGAGCAGAGCAGACAGAACAGAGTATATGAGAGTAGAACCGTTCATTCGGTTCTACTCTCATATACTCCCATTGCACTCAATCCCTGGCCTGCTCTATTAGACTCGCGTATGTTCTGCTCTACTCTACTCGACTCGACTCTACTTGTCTATACCCTACTCTACCGTACCCTGGTACGCTCGAATATACGCATGGGTTATTCTCGAATATACGCATAGGTTCTTCTCTACTCTACGTCTGCTCCACCCTACTTCTGAGCTTGACGATGATTGGACACTTGTTGGGACGCGGATACAGAGAAAGCCATGCGGACAGCAGAGGAAGGAGGGAGGCGGGAGGAGGAGAAGGTGGAGACCATAGAGCTCTATTCAAAACGAATGCCCGACCAACGAGGGTTGGGAATCAGTTCAGCATCGGCTGGTCATGTAGGCCTCGGGGCTTGCAGTCTACATCAGGCGCTCCAGACATCCGAGGAGACGAGGTGGACGAGGCGGAGGCGGAAGTAGGTGATCTTGTAGACGAAGCCGTAGGCTTAACCTCTAGGTATAGGTAATAGAGCAACACGAGGTTGCGCATTGCTGTGAACCTGGAGTGTTCGTGCCGTGGATCGTCGTGGTAAGCCTCATTTCCGGCGAGCCCGAGACGATGTGGACGAGGCGGAAGAGGAGGAGGAGGAGGTTCCCCCACTCCGCCACAGGTGGAGGACGGAGCATACAGAAGCTCTGCAAGGGCCTCCACGGCCCGAGAACGGCCAAGAAGGCCCAAAAACCTCGATGGTTCGAGCCTCCATGACCCCCAGGGTGACTACCTACCAGACCACCCCAACCCAACCCGAAGACCCGAATTTCGGGTTGGGGGGGGGTATGGGCTCCCTATGTATTTTTTCGATGTTCCCGGACCCCCCCCCCACTGGAAATGGAGGGCAAATTGAGGCCTTCGGGTTGGGTTGGGGTGATTTGGTGTGGTGGTGACAGGGTGGGAGGAACCAGAGGCTGACGACACCGACGACGGCGGCGACGAGGGGAAGGGGCCAGCCTGTTCACGCACAGGAGGAGGCACGATGACCTCCATGCCTTAGGCCAAAGACTTGTCCATAGCGTGTCGCGGCGCGTGTCGCGGCGGCGGCGAGTGCGACATGCCATTCCCTGTGTAAACGCAAGACTCATCAACGATGTTGGAGTACACCGTCCCTCCAAGCTCCCTTTTTCATAGGCCCCTACAGGTTTTCATTTCCACTGAAAGAAACGCCCCGTTTGGGGACAACTGTGCAAAAATCCTGAAGCATATAAAGCATCCTCAGGGTTTCAACGCCACGAGGCAACCATACTGTTGCGTTTTGAAGATCCTGAACCGTGCCAAAACACCATTCTTGGGACTTCAACGCCATTAGTCAATGTAACTGTTGCGCCTTGGCAATCCAGAATCGTTTCAAAGCGCCGTTTCGAGTTCGTTAGCCATGAGAATCAATGAAACAATTACAAATGCTTGAAATGAATGCGCGCGGCGCTAAAGCGAGAGCCACATAATGACAACCAGGCGCCCTCAATCCATGAAACTCATGCAGCTGTTTAAAACGAATGTGCGCTGCGCTAAAGCGAGAAACACATGTTGAAAACCATCCACCCTCATTCCGTGAAAATCATGCAAACCTTTAGAACGAACGCGCGCGGCGGTAAGGCGAGAGCCACAGGTTGAAAACCACCCGCCCTCCATCTGCGAAGCTGTTGCCAGCTTTTGAAGGCTGCATGCTCATAAATGGTGAGGACACCTCCGGCGAGAAACGCCAGGCTCGCCCTTCCGACTGGCCTCGGGGTGCGACAGGGAGGAGTTATGCAAGAGGAGAGGCCAGGAAAGGGAGTGGAGGAAGGCGAAGCGGAGTAGGGTTATGTCGGGCGTGTCCCCCTACAGGGGGATTTTCGACGAAAAATAAAAAATACCCCCAAAATACCCCCAAAAGGTGAAAAAACACTCCCGAAATAGTCCCTGGACTATTTTTGGAGTGTTCTTTATTTTTCGTCGAAAATTCCCCCTGTAGGGGGACAGGCCCGACTTAAGAGTAGGGTGGGAGGGCGAAGAGCCCGCCGCCGCCGCCGACGACAACGCTACCCACCACGTGCTCGCCGCCGACCCGCGTAGCAAAGCCACGGGGCCAGACCCCGTCCTGCACGAGCCTCAACGCGCGAAGCACCACAGGCATGGAGCCCATGGAATCGAAACCCCCGCGGGGATAATCTCGACGAGGAGGAGGACGACGACGAGGACGACCTCGAAGGAAACGCCGACTGCGGCGGCCTTGTCGGCGGAGGCGGCGGCGACGACCTTCACGATGACAACCTAGACTGCGACGCTCCCAGCGGCGGTGCTGGCGGAGGCGGCGGCTACGACGCCGCCAACGGCGGCGGCGACGACGACGACGACGACGACCTCGACCTCGACCTCGACCGTCGACCTCGACGACGACGCAGACGGCGACGGCGACGGCGTCGACCGAGGCGGCGACGACGACCCTCGACGACGACGACGACGACCTCGACGATGGCGACGCCCTGCTGCGGCGACGACCAGCGCGGAGCGGGCCCCGCCTGGCTGCGCGAGGGCGAGCGGGCGCTTCCGGAGCGGCCCGGCTCGACCACGCCGCTCATGCGCGGCCTGCCGCCCCCCCCGCCGCGCGCCGCCGGGCCGCTGCCGAGGCCGCTGCCGAGGCCGTCGCCGCCGTCGCCGAGGTCGTCGCCCGCGGCCACCGCCGCCGCGGTCGTTGCCGTCGCCGAGGCCGCCGGCACCGTCAGGGCCCGCGTTCAGGTCGTCGTCGTCGTCGTCGCCGGCGGCGTCGGCTTCGCCATCGGCGTCGCCGCCGTCGAAGTCGTCGCCGTCGTCGACGTCGCCGAGGCCGCCGCCGCCGCCGCCGTCGTCGTCGAGGAGGTCGTCGTCGTCGTCGTCGTCGTCGTCGTCGTCGTCGTCGTTGTCGCCGTCGTCGCCGCCGTCGTCGTCGCCGCCGCCGTCGTCGTCGCAGTGGGCGTCAACGTCGCTGTCGTCGCCGTCGAAAGCGTCGCCGTCGTCGACGTCGTCGTCGTCGTCGGCGTCGGCGTCGCCGTCGGCGTCGCCGTCGGCGTCGTAGCCGCCGCCTTCGCCAGCGCCGCCGTCACCAGGAGCGTCGTTGTCTAGATTGTCATCGTTGAGGTTGTCGTCAACGCCATCGCAAACGACGCCGTCGCAGTAGGCGTTTTCCTCGAGGTCGTCGTCGTCGTCGTCGTCGTCGTCGTCGTCGTCGTCGTCGTCGTCGTCGACGTCGCCATTGTCGTCGTCGTCGTCGTCGTCGTCGCCGTCATCGTCGTCGTCGAAGATCTGGGGTTCCACGATCAAGGGTTCTGGCCATTCCCAAGCCTCTTCGGGCCGCCAGGGCCGCTCTCGCGGCCTCGTCGTCGTCGTCGTCCTCCTCCTCCTCCTCCTCGTCGTCCTCCTCCTCCTCCTCCTCCTCCTTCTCCTCCTCCTCAGCATTAGTAGCATCATCACTATCATTATCATGCCACTATGGCTACCATCGCCACCATCAGCATCGTGGGTGGTCGTCACCATCATCATCATCATCATCATCATCATCATCATCATCATCATCATCATCATCATCATCATCATCATCATCATCATCATCATCATCATCATCATCATCATCATCATCATCCGATCATTCTCATCATCACAACCACCACCACCACCACCACCATCATCATCATCATCATCATCATCAGTATTATCATCATCATCACCGTCATAATTACAATCATCATAATCATCATCGTCATCGTCACCATCACCATCATCGTCGTCGTCGCCATCGTCAGCAACATCATCATCATTGGTGACCGTCGTCAAAATCATCATCGCAACCGTCAGCAACAGCAGCATCACTACCATCCTCCTCCTAATCACCACCACCATCACCATCACCATCGACATCATCACCATGTGTGAACGTCGTCGAGTTCATCATAATCATCACCATCATCATCATCATCATCAGCATCATCATCGTCACCATCACCATCACTACCATCACCACCATCACCACCACCATCACCACCATCACCACCATCACCACCATCACCACCATCACCACAATCACCATCACCACTATCGTCGTTGTGTTGGTTATCACCGTGCGTGAACGTCGTCATGCCCGTAATCGTAATCAGCATAACCATCATTATCATCATCATCATCATCATCATCATCATCATCATCAGCATCATCATCATCAGTATCATCATCATCAACATCACCATTATCACCATCATCATCAGCATCAGCAGCATCATCACCCCCATCACCATCACCATCACCACCAGTATAATGCATCATAGTGATGTTACGGACGATAATTGTCATCATCATCATCATCATCATCATCATCATCATCATCATCATCATCATCATTACTAGCACCATCGTCGTCATCATCAGCCTCAGCATCAGCATCATCACCATCATTACCAGCATCTGACTCGCCATCATCACCATCAATCATCATTCTCATCGGCGTCCTCCTCCTCCTCCTCATCATCATCACCATCGCCACCATTACCATTACCATTACCATCACCAACAGAAGCGAGCTCATGACCTTAAGGAGCTCCTCATCAGTGCCGAGGGCTTCCGCAGGAGTACACGGCAGACTGAGTAAGTCATGCGAGGGGTGAGGAAGCTGAAGCAGGGCCGCATGCCGAAGACGCACATCGACCTGTGGAACGAGGTGCGGCAGGCCATGGAGGGCAAGGAGCTGGTCATAGTCAAGATCGGAAGCCACGTGAGCGCCGAGGAGGCTGTGAAAGCAGGCGTCCAGGCGCTCAACTTCCTAGGCAACAGCCTGGCGGACGAGTTCGTGGAGGACGTCATCGAGAGCGTGCAGGTGCCATGAGGGGAGGCTCGCAAGCTGGGCTGGGCCGAAGGGATCGCATCTGTGATCCGAGGCCGGGCTTTCGCGACGCTCATGGCGGCCATAGAGGTAGAGCCTTCGCGGATCCCGACGACGGCTGAGCGGAAGCAGGCGCACATCAAGCAGAAGCGGCTGGGTAAGCCGATGAGCGAGACCAAGCATGTGGTGACTGAGGACGTGGGCGTCAGGCACCTGAAGCGCGAGACGCGCGGGTCCAGGGTGCCGAACTTGAAGGCGGAGTCGTGGCTGGCCAGTCCGTGCGAGGTGATGGAGGCGAAGACTGCCCCCGTTCGGTGCGCTGTAGGCTGTGCGGCCGCAGATCGGCAACCTGAGCGCCCAGAAGAGGAGGCACATGCTGATCTACAGCAAGGGGCTGGGGCTACACTACTGCACGGTGTGTGGCTAAACAGCGAGGGAGTCGATGACGGACCCGGCCACGGATTGTGGAAAGCGTGCGCTCCAGACCCGTAAGCAGAACCTCAGCAGGATGGAGAAGGGCCTGCAGCCTGGCGGGTCGCGGTTCGCAATCGAGTTCAACAGGAGAAAGCTGGGGAAGTAACTGAGAGAGGGTGCGCCATGCTGCCGTTTGCGGCGTTCGGATGCACTCGACCGAGTCTCGACCTCTGGCAACGCAGCCCCATGCCAGAACAACAAATCATCATCATCATCATCATCATCATCATCATCATCATCACCACCATCATCATCATCAGCATCATCATAAGCATCATCATCCTCATCATCGTCACCATCATCATCGTCATCATCATCATGATCATCATCATCATCATCGTCATCATCATCATCAGCATCGTCATCGTCCTCAACATCATCCTCATCATCATCATCAGCATCATCGTTATCATCATCAACATCATCATCCTCGTCCACATCGTCATCCCCATCCTCATTATCATCCTCATCATTACCACCACCACCACCATCATCATCACCATCACCATCCTCATCACCATCATCATCATCACCATCACCATCACCGTCACCATCATCATCAACATCATCGTCATCAGTATCATCAGCATCAGCATCGCCACCACGCGGACCAACACCAACATCATCAAAATCACAACCACCACCACCGTCATCAGCATCATCATCGTCACTACCATCATCATGATGATGATCATCATCGCCATTACCATCATCATCGTCGTCATCTTTATCGTCGTCATCGTCATCATCATCATCATCATCATCATCACCATCACCATCATCATCATCATTGTCCTCATTATCTTGAGCATCGTCATCATCATGAGCATCAGCATCATCATCATCAGCATCAGCATCATCAGCATCAGCATCAGCAGCATCATCATAAGCATCAGCATCGTCATCTTCATCCTCATCCTTATCCTCACCCTCACAACCACCACTACCACCATCATCATCATCATCATCAACATCATCACCATCACCATCCCCGTCACCATCATCATGATCATCATCATCATCATCATCAGCAGTATCAACATCGCCACCACGAGGACCAATACCATCATCATCATCATCATCATCATCATCATCATCATCATCATCATCATCATCACCACCGTCATCATCATCATCATCACCACCGTCATCATCATCATCATCATCATCACCAAGATCATCATCATCACCATTACCATCCTCATCGTCATCATTACCAACATCATCATCATGATCATCATCACCATCGTCGTCGTCATCATCATCCTCATGCTCATGAGCATCATCATCAGCAGCATCATCATGAGCATGAGCATGAGCATCAGCATCATCACACCACCATCATCATCATCATCATCATCATCATCATCATCATCATCATCATCATCATCATCATCATCATCATCATCATCATCATCATCATCATCCGTGGCTCCGCGCGCGCCTGGGGTCAGCACACGGCCTTGCCGCCGTCGTCGCCGCCGCCGCCGTCGTGACCGTCGTCGCCGTCCGCAAATTAGTCATCTCCCCCCCGCTTTCAGAATCAGACGCTCTCCCCCTCCCCCGGGCCGGCCCTCTGGGAAAGTCGAGGCGGGTGCACTTGTCGTGGAACTCGTCCTTCACCTTCGCAATCAGCCTGCGCTGCTCCTGGGGAGGGTCTTCCGACCCCCTCCCCCTGACTCCAGATCCGCCGTGCTTTGCGCGATTTCGCAAGCAGGGCGGAAATTTCAGCCCTCCTTGTTCAGCTCCGGTGGTGCCGATTTTTCTGCCCTGCTCTGCTATCGCTGCTCCCGCCATGCATTTGCGGAAATAGCCGCATCGTTGGTGGTCGCTCGCTCGCTCGGCCGTGCATCCGGTGGAACGCGTTGGCAAACGCAGGTTGCGACGTTGGCAACCGAACGGAAAACATGAACTGCAAGTGTACAATGGGTGCTGCAGAACTAAGAAGGGGGAGGGGAGGGAGGAAGGCGAGAATTGCCTCCCGCCATGCATCTGCGGAAATAGCCGCATCGTTGGTGGTGCATGACACAAAGGTAAGCCGGAAAATCGACCATCATCACGGTGCGGATCCGGAGTCAGAGCTCGGTCATGCTCGCCCGTGCGCGCGTGCGCGCTGCGCGCAAGGCCCTGGAGGTCCTGGAGGCCCTCTGGAGGCCTCTGGACATCCAGAGGCCTCTGGAGGCAGGAGAGCCCAGAATCGAATCGATAACTCGGATCGGCGATCGTAATGAATCGGATCGGCAGAAATCGGCGGCCGGGTCGGGAAAAGTCGAATCGGCAGAAATCGGCAGGCTAGTGTGCCTCCAATAAGAAATCGGAGCCCAAATCGGAATCCGAAATCGAATCGAATCGGAATCGGAATCCATCGGGGTCGAATCGAATCGCATCGGAGGATTCGAAACGAGCCCTGCCCCTGTGCGCCGCGCAAGACTGAAGGGAAACTGGGACACACAAATAAATACACACAAATAAAGAGATTCCCCATATTTTCTTATATTTTCTGGGTTTTTGTCTTCCCCCCCACTTCCCATATTTTCCCATTTTTCTGGGAGTCGACGATTAATTGTGTCTGTGTGTTTTTTCCCCTCCCGAAAGACACCCAGAGGCCTCGGGAGGCCCGCAGCGGCCGCCAGCTCCAGGGCTCGGCCCTCTGGCCCTCCCCCTCTGTGCTCGCCGCGCGCGCGCGCGCGCCGCGCAGAGCCCTCGGAGGCGATCGGGAGGAGGAGGAGGAGGAGGAGGAGGAAGGAGGAGGAGGGAGCAGGAGGAGGAGGAGGAGGAGGAGGAGGAGGAGGAGGAGGAGGAGGAGGAGGGAGCTGGAGGGGGGAGGAGGAGGAGGAGGTGAAGAACAGCCAGTCCTCAGGAAGCGCAAAGTATACACCCTACACCGGGCCCTCGGAGGCCATCCTCTTCGCTCTGGAAAGCAAGAAATAAAAAGAGCCTCCGGAAGGTCGAGGGAAGGGCCCTCCTCTGGAAGGTCGAGCCCTGAAGGTCGAGTAAAAGTCGGGCCCTCCTCTGGAAGGTCGAGCCCTCCTCTGGGTGAAGGTCGGGCCCTCCTCTGGAAGGTCGAGCCCTCCTCTGGGTGAAGGTCGGGCCCTCCTCTGGAAGGTCGGGCCCTCCTCTGGGTGAAGGTCGGGCCCTCCTCTGGAAGGCCGAGGAGGAGGAGGAGGAGGAAGAGAGGTGGAGGAGGAGGGGGAGGAGGAAGAGGAGGAGGAGGAGGAGGAGGAGGAGGAGGAGGGGGAGGAGGAAGAGGAGGAGGAGGAATAGTCCTCTGGAAGGTCGGGCCCTTCTCTGGGTGAAGGTCGGGCCCCTTCTCCGAGAGGCCGCTGGTCCTCCAGGAGGCCTCGGCGCGCACGAGCGGCCGGCAGGCCGAGCGGCTCCAGCGGCGAGCCTCCATGGGCGGCCCGGCGGCGGCCCGGCGCCCAAGAGGGCGGCAGCCTCAGAGGGAGGCCTCCCGGGTGGGGCCGGGGCAGAAGTGGCCCCAGAAATCGTGGGGGGCACAGCCCAGACCCCCTCGAGTCATGAAAAAATCACGACGGGAGGTTTTTCGCCATTTTTGGCCTCTGGGGGCCCTTCCCGGCCCTCGGGAGCGTCAAAAAACGACTCGGGACGAAAAACCGGCCCCGGGGAATGGGTCGAGACCTCAGGGGGTCAACGTCATGAAAAAATCATGACGTCGGGGGTCTGGGGTGGAGGCCAGTCCACAAGAAGCCTTGAACAAGAGACCCAACCCTGAGACCTCGGGGCGTCCATGGACTTCTGGTGCGGGAGCGTCACGCCTTCCATGGCAGAGCCGTCGAAACCCAAGAAACCCAGGGCACCCTGGAGGCAAGGAGGGTGTTTCTTGGCATGGGTCTCCACTGTAGGGCTAGGGTTCGCATCTGGCCCCCTAAATGGGGTGGCTTGGTGGGTGGCGAACAGTGGCCACGCAAAGACTCTCGCAGGCCGCCCCCCAGCCCCCCGCGCGGGACCTGGGCGGGAAGCCAGGGACCGGAAGCGCGGCGGCGCCACCGCCGGAGGTGCAAAACGGGCGCGGGCGGGCGGGACAAGCGGCCCCCGCTCTTCAGGGCCCCGTAGACCAGGATACGCAAGACCCGGACACTCAACGTCCCTCGAAACCGATTTTCCCGAACGGCGGCACGAACAGAATGCTGCACTGCAGCATTTCAAGAACAAACCCGGAGACGGGCCCCAAAAGCCTGCAAGACACCCCTAACCCCGGACACAAACCCGAATCCTGCAGTGCAGCAAACAAAACATGCGCGGGTGCTGAAAAACGTAACTTTGCAGGAAGAGATGCCGTTCCCATGGTTTTCCGTGTCCTGGTCTATCTGTGTCCTGGTCCCCGGGGGAGGAGGAGGAGGAGGCGGAGGACGAGGATGAGGAGGAGGAGGAGGAGGAGGAGGAGGAGGCGGGGGAAGAGGGAGGAGGGGGGGGAGGAGGAGGAGGAGGAGGAGGAGGAGGAGGAGGAGGAGGAGGAGGAGGAGGAGGAGGAGGAGGAGGAGGAGGAGGAGGAGGAGGAGGAGGAAGAGGAGGAGCTCCCCGCGTGCCCGACGCCGGACCCGCGGCGTGGAGCGGCGCAGTCAGGGGGCATGCTTTCCCTTCCCCCCCTCCCCTCTGCGCTCGTGCGCGCGAGCGCTGGCAAGAGGGACAGTAGATGGACAATATATTCGAACCCTCACACATTCAAGGGAGATTCTAAATCACCCCCGCGCCCCCGACATCAACGTTGATCTCAGCAAAGGCGGCGCTTTGGGGTTCGAATATTTCTGTCCACTCACGCCCCCCCCCGTCGCCACGCCATCAATATCAAATTCGGGGGTTCGGGGGGGCACCTTGGGCCACAGGGTTCGAATATAATGTCCATGTACGGGAGGGTCGTGCCACAGCTGTTTTTTCCATGCCCAGGCCAGTCTGACGAGCTGGCGAGACTGGCAGAGCCTGCAAAACAAGCATCACGTACAGCACACATTTGAGACCGTCAACTGTTGCGTTGTGCACCATATCGTGGATGCATCACCGATGCATCGGCGACGCATGGGCGACGTTGACGTGTAGAGAATTGAGCTCCGCATCGAGCCGCATCGCCGATGCATCGACGATGTGGCGCGATCCTCCGACCCCATCATGTCGGACCGTGAGAGGCCTGGAACCCCTGGGGTAGGTCGCAGAGCTGCGTCGCATGGCTGTCGAGGCAAGGGGAGACCCTGAGATATGAGCGCTGCGGCGTTGCAATCTTTTCACACCGGGCGCTTTCGCGCCGTCTCGGGACCTGGGGCCATCACGTATCGATTCGGCAAACACAAATGTTTGAGAAAGATTGGGTCTAAGCCTTCGGTCGTTTTTACGCGATGTTGTATTTGTTCGCAACGTCGGGTCTCGTGGGAGGCGCTGGAGACGGGGGGGTGACAGTACAGTCACAAACAGAACCCCCGGGCCTACGAGCGGGCCGCAACTCGGCATCCCCCTCGGGGCTGACGTAGGAACCGACAACGGGGGGCACTCCCGTAGCTTGCTTAGGGAGGTCGAAATGAGAGGCTGGGCTTCACACGTATCCGCCGTCCGAAGAACTTACCTCCCAGGACCCCACGGTGCGGCGGAGATGGAATTCAAGGGCCTATCCGTTAGCCCCTCCGCACTCCGAAGCGCTGACAAGAAAACTCCAGGCGCAGCTGGAGGCGCCACCACATTGGTCGTGCAGCAAGTGGCCTTAACAGGCCAGCCAGAAGTCAAGGAAATGTTGTGTGCCGTCTCGGCACCAAGGCCACGGCATGCTCAAAGCAGGCGAGCGCAGCGACTGACGCCCATCAGGGCATGGTGGAGCAAACTCGGCCCAATAAGTAATTATGGAAGTGCAGCGATTATTCCCAGGAGCGTTGCCAAAGTAGGACGTCGCCGTCCTCGAACGGTGACGTAAGCATGAAACTGTCATCAACAATGGCAACCACCTCTTATCCCTTCACAGAAAGAAGAAACAAATACGAAATAACGAAGTAAACTGCCTGCGACTCGACCTCGAACCAGGAGGAGGGAAGAGAGAGCCAGCTTCAATCCTGCAGGCCGCGCAGAGACCTCTGAATGTTCTGCACCGAGTCGTTGACTTTGTTTTTGTAGTTGATGCGGCAGCCCCTCACCTGTGTATCCACCCGCGCCACCACCGCCGTCGCCACCGCCATCGTCGTCGGCACCACCGTCGTCTGAATTGCAACCGGCGTCCTCGCTGTCGTCGTCCATTTTCCTTGCCGCGGCGCCAGCGCCCGGTGCCGCTGGGCGTTCGCCAGCAGGCAAGCGAACACCTTGAACGAATCGATGTTATACGGGTTCCGTGGCACTGCCAGTGACTCAGCCCTGGCCGAGGGGTCGCCCATGAGGGTGTGACTTTGCCCCGACGCCAGACTGGACGCTCACGGAGGATCTTTTCCCCGGGACCCCAGCCGGCGGCACGGGGCGCCGCCCAGCGCGGCGCTGGCAGCCCGCAGTCTCAGCGCAGGTGCTGGCCAGCCGGAGGCGGCGGCGGATCGCAGGTGGCGGCTCCAGGGGCGGTCCCAGCGGGTCGGGGGCGCACAGAACGGCCCCTGGCGGCCTGTCAGCGGCGCCCATCGGCCTGGGCGCCCAGCGGCGGCGGCGGGGCGTGGGCAGCGCCAGATGTTATTAGCCTGTGGTTCACGAGGGGCAAAAACGTGTGCTTTGCGAACGCTTTCTGGTTCGCGACGCTTGCAGAACAAGTTGATGTTCGCAAAATGAATCGGGCAGGTATGGCATATGTGGATTCGTTATGATTCGATAGCTTTTCAACGGCACTCACGCCCACCAAGCGCGACCGCTGCATATTGAGTACACGGCTTGAGCCAAAATGGCAGGCACGACGTGCACAAGATGAAAATCCGTCTCGTGATCCTGGAGGAAGTGGAAGAAGGTGGCGCAGCTGTCGGCCACTGCATCGTAGTCGTCGAGCCGACAGCGAAATCCGCAAACGACGTCGTAGTCAGAGGTCTGCGAGCCCATGTGCTCAAACGAAAACTCCTCCTCCTCCTCATCCTCCTCCTCCTCCTCCTCCTCGTCCTCCTCGTCGTCGCTGTCGTCGTGGTCGTTGTCGTCGTCGTTGTTGTCGTCGTCGACATCGTCGTCGTGGCTGTCCCCGTTGTCTTCCTCGCCCCCGTCGTAATTAGTCGTCGTCCACACTCAATGGGACGGCGGACGACGACGACGGCGACGACGACGACGACCACCACCACCACCACGACCACGACCACGACCACGACGACGACCACCACCACGACCACGACCACGACCACGACCACGACGACGACCACCACCACGACCACGACCACGACCACGACGACGACGACAGCGACGACGACGACGCCGACGACGACGACGACGACAACGACGACGGCGACGCCGGCGACCACGACGACGCCGGCGACGACGACGACGACGACGACGACGACGACGACGGCGACGACGACGACGCCCACGATGACGACGAGGACGATGACCCCGACGACGACGACGACGACGACGACGACCACGACCACGACGACGACGACGACGACGACGACGACGACGACCAGGACGACGACGACGACGACGACGACAGACGACGACGACGATCGACGATGTCCACCCGACAGGTTAGGGCTGTTCGATTTCGAAGCAGAGATCCACCCGCCAGAACTGCATACCGCAGCCGCCTGGCCCAAAGTATCCCAAGTTGTCCCTGAGACTTCCGCCTCGCCAGCCCTGCCTATCGCGGCCGCCAGGGCCAAAGTACCCCAAGTGGTCCCTGAGACTCCCGCCTCGCCAGCCCTGCATACCGCGGCCGCCAGGGCCAACATATCTCGAGTGGTCCCAGAGACTCCCGCCTCGATCGCCACGTTACCTCGCTCTCCTCCCAACTTCTCCCGCCCCTCTCTACCAAATTGTCTTCGCCTTCCCACTCCATCGCACTCCACAGCACTCCTCCACATTCATCCGCACCCCTATTGCCCATCGCACTCCTCGGCACTCCTCCCGAATCCTCCAGACTCCTGCTCCTCTATCTCAATCCTCGGCACTTCTCCCTAATCCTTGGTACTCCCCCCTGCTCGATCGCACTCCTCGGCACTCCTCCCCATTCCTCCCCACTCCTCCAGACTGCCCCCCAATCTATCGGATTCTTCTGCACTTCTCCCAACTCCCCTCGACTCCATCGCTCGGCACTCACTCCCCCTTCTCAAATTTCCTCCCAATTCCATCGCGCTCCTCAGCACTCCTCCCTCCTCCTCCATCTCGCTCCTCGACACTCCTCCCTAAACCTCGGGACTCCCACCCTACTCCACCTTACTCCTCGGCACTCCTCCCGATTCCTTCCCACTACTCCGCACTCGTCCCTACTCCTCCAGGCTGTCCCCCCGCTTCGTCGCACTCTGCGCTCCTCCCGACTCCTCCCGACTCAATCGCACTCCTCAGCACTCCTCCCCGCTCGCCCAGACTCCTCCCTCCATCGCACTCCTCGGCACTCGCCCCCACTTCTCTGTTTTCCTTCCAATGTCGTCGCGCTCCTCAGCACTCGTTCCCACCCCTCTGGGGCCCCCCCTACTCCATCGCACTCCTCAGCACTCCTCTGGACTCGTCCCTACTCGAAGGATTGCAAAAACGAAGGATTGCAACAAAAAAAGATTGCAAAAACGAAGGGTTTTTTTGCAATCCTTTGCACTCCTCCCCACTCCTCCCCACTCCTCTGGACCCCTCCCAACTCCATCGCGCTCCTCCCCACACCTCCCCAGCCCTGCCCACTCCACCGCACTCCTCCCCAAACCTCTGGAGTCCTCCCCATGCCTCCCCACTTCGTCGCACTCCTCCCCACTCCCCTGGAGTCCCCCCCGCTCCATCACTCCTCGGCACTCCTCGCCACTCCTCCAGACTCTCCCACACTCCGTCGCACTCCTCAGCACTCCTCCATCCTCCTGCCCACTCCGTGGCACTCCTCCCAACTCCTCTGGACTCCTCCCCGCTCCGTGGGGCCCCTCCTGTTCCCCTCCCCCCCCCCCTTCTCTACACTGGCCGACGCGGCAGAGCAGGTGCGGCCAACTGCGCAGTTGCAGAGGATGGGCCCTCCCGGCGAGCTCGCATCGAGGCCCCCCCCCCCCCGGGACTCCCCCATCCTGAGTATCGGCGTTGAGCAACCCCGCGGAGGGCGCAGCGTCGGAACAAGCACGCTTTTTCGTGCCGCCGCGGAGGCTGCTGTACCTCGACGGCTGGCCACCAACCCACCCAGAGGCCGCGATGTCGCGGCGGCTCGCCTTCGAGCGTGGCGGGCGCGAGGGGGGAGAGAAATCTACCGGCTCGCTGCGGTGGGAAGGGAGCGGCGCGGCCGGGCACCGACCAGATGTTTCGGCACCGTCTTGAGACAACAAAAAAGCACTCTGGCCTAGCCACCTCGGTGGCAACTGCCACGCACTGGGCCCAGAAGTCTTCGGAGGTCAGATCTCGATGCGTCAGCAACTGCTGCACATGGGACACGCTGGCCTGGCCACTGAAAATGTGGAGCCAGAGCTCCGCCGCACGCCAGAGGCACTGAGCGCACCTCTTGGCGGCGGTGCTCCGTCGCGCTCCCGTTTAAAAAAATCGTCGCAGGCGCGGGGCGCCGAGCGCCCCGTTCTGTGGTGCCCGACCTGGGGGGGGGAAAAGGGGAAGCAATGGGGGGGGGGGGGGGCACGAGCCGCCCCGCTCAGAGGCCGAGCTGCTCAACGCCAGCGCTCCGCCGATGATGCCGATGGCGGCGAACATGGCGAAGCGGCCATTGTTGATCTCGCGCGCGCGCATGTCCTCGGTGTACTGCCCGAGGCCCAGCGGGTCGCCGAAGTTGCCCGGCTCCTTGCTCTCGTCGTCGGTCCAGACCGCCAGCTCCAGCCCACCGCAGACGAGGATCAGGGCGATGGCGCCCTCCTTGCCCGGGGACACGTTCACCGCGCCGAGGCCCTTGGGGATGCCCTCGAAGCCAGGAATCTGGACGTAGTGCTGCACCACCGCGCCCAGAGCGGCCATCATCCCCACGCGGCCGTGCTTGATCTCCGCGGTGCGCAGCTTGCGGAACGTGGGCTCGTTGGTGGTGAAGCCCGCGGGGTCGAAGTAGCCCAGCGGCGCCTGGGCGCCCACCTCGCCCGCGGGGTCCCACGAGGTGTAGGTGCCCGCGGCGCTGGCCTCGGCGTTCCACCTGCCGTCGGTGGCCGTGAAGGGGTCGAAGTCGTTGACCTTGTAGCCCTTCTTCAGGGCGTTCGACGCATCGCCGCCCACGCCGTCGGGGTTGCGCCCCGTCGCCGCCTCCCAGGCCATCTCGTTGCGCTTGCGCTTCTGCTCCATGGACTTCTTGTACTCCGGGCTGCCGACCTCCAGCTTCGAGAACTTCCGGTCCAGTGCCGGGTCGTAGGTGTCCGCCTCGCCGGCCTGCTGCGCCAGGCTCCCGGCGCCCGCGGAGCCGGCCACCGCCCCGGCCGTCTTGGCGGCGCCTGCCGCGGCGGCGGCCTTCGCGGCCGCTGCCGCGCCCGCCGCCGCCGACACGGGCTCGGCGCGGCGTGCCGTGCGCCCGCGGGCGGCAGACGCCGCCGCGGCGGCGGCCCGGCGAGGCCGCCAGCGCCGCGGGCAGGGCGGGCGCCCCGGCGGGGCGGCGGGGGCGGCGAGCGGAGGCCTGCGGGCGGTGCCGCCGCGCGGGCCGCGGGGGCCCCGGGCGCCGCGGGCACGAAGGCCCGCGCCGCGAGGTGGCAGGCGCCGGCGGCCGCGGCGCCGCCTGCGAGGGCCGCGGCGGTGCGGGGCATGGCTGCCCGGGGGCGGGGGGGCTTCCGCTTCCCGCCGGCGCTGGGCCCGAGAGGCGGGCGCTGGCAGCTGCCCTTATGAGACGCAAGGCTTGGACCAGAATGGCCACGGACGGTGCGCCAGAGCAGCCGTGGAGCGGGGGGGTGAAAGGGGGGGGGTCTCTGCCGGTGGGCTCCGCGGTGCCCAACCCTTGCAGTGCTCGGCACGGCGGCGGGGCGAGACGCGGCGAGACCGGGGCACCGTCCAGTGGCCGTGTCAACCTTAAAGATTGCGGTTCCCAGACCCCCGACGTCATGATTTTTTCATTACGTCGACCCCCAGAGGTCCCGACCCTTTCCCCATGACCGGCTTTGCATCCTGAGTCGTTTTCTGACGCTCCCGAGGCCCAGTGAGGGCCCCAGGAGGCCGAAAATTAGGAAAAACCTCCCGTCATGATTTTTTCATTGCTCGGGTCCCAGGCTTCCAGCTCCCGCCTTGTAGTACTCACTGGGGCACGCGTGGAGTCGACCTTGCGTTGGACCACCGGCCGCGTCCACCCTGCAGATGCCCCGACCCCCGGCCCCCCCAGCCAGCGAGGCAGCCGACGAGGCAGCCCACAAGGCAGCCAACGAGGCAGCCAACGAGGCAGCCGGCGAGGCAGCCGGCGAGGCAGCCTGCGAGGCAGCCAATACCGCCTCCTCCCAACTCCTCCATCTCTCTGACTCCTCGGCACTCTTCCCCACTCCTCCGGACTACTACTCCCCACTCCATCGCAATCCTCGGCACTCTTCCCCATTCCTCCCCACCCCGTCGCACTCCTTGGCACTCCTCCCCGCCCCCACTCCATCGCACCTCTCGTCACTTCTCAGCGCTCTTCCCGACTTCTCCCGACTCGATCGCGCTCCTCGGCACCCCTCCCCACTTCTCCAGCTTCCTCTCAATTCCATCGCGCTCCTCGGCGATCTTTCCCACTCCTCTGGGGCCCCCCCTACTCCGTCGCACTCCTCAGCACTCCTCCCACTCCCCGGGACTCTTCCCTACTCGATCGCACTCCTCTGGACCCCTCCCAACTCCATCGCGCTCCCCAAACCTCTGGAGTCCTCCCCATGCCTCCCCACTTCGTCGCACTCCTCCCCACTCCCCTGGAGTCCCCCCCGCTCCATCACTCCTCGGCACTCCTCGCCACTCCTCCAGACTCTCCCACACTCCGTCGCACTCCTCAGCACTCCTCCATCCTCCTGCCCACTCCATGGCACTCCTCCCAACTCCTCTGGACTCCTCCCCGCTCCGTGGGGCCCCTCCTGTTCCCCTCCCCCCCCCCTTCTCTACACTGGCCGACGCGGCAGAGCAGGTGCGGCCAACTGCGCAGTTGCAGAGGATGGGCCCTCCCGGCGAGCTCGCATCGAGGCCCCCCCCCCTCGGGACTCCCCCATCCTGAATACCGGCGTTGAGCAACCCCGCGGAGGGCGCAGCGTCGGAACAGCACGCTTTTTCGTGCCGCCGCGGAGGCTGCTGTACCTCGACGGCTGGCCACCAACCCACCCAGAGGCCGCGATGTCGCGGCGGCTCGCCTTCGAGCGTGGCGGGCGCGAGGGGGGAGAGAAATCTACCGGCTCGCTGCGGTGGGAAGGGAGCGGCGCGGCCGGGCACCGACCAGATGTTTCGGCACCGTCTTGAGACAACAAAAAAGCACTCTGGCCTAGCCACCTCGGTGGCAACTGCCACGCACTGGGCCCAGAAGTCTTCGGAGGTCAGATCTCGATGCGTCAGCAACTGCTGCACATGGGACACGCTGGCCTGGCCACTGAAAATGTGGAGCCAGAGCTCCGCCGCACGCCAGAGGCACTGAGCGCACCTCTTGGCGGCGGTGCTCCGTCGCGCTCCCGTTTAAAAAAATCGTCGCAGGCGCGGGGCGCCGAGCGCCCCGTTCTGTGGTGCCCGACCTGGGGGGGGGAAAAGGGGAAGCAATGGGGGGGGGGGGGGGCACGAGCCGCCCCGCTCAGAGGCCGAGCTGCTCAACGGCGTCCTTGCCAGTCAGGAGCTCCGCAGCGATGATGCCGATGGCGGCGAACATGGCGAAGCGGCCATTGTTGATCTCGCGCGCGCGCATGTCCTCGGTGTACTGCCCGAGGCCCAGCGGGTCGCCGAAGTTGCCCGGCTCCTTGCTCTCGTCGTCGGTCCAGACCGCCAGCTCCAGCCCACCGCAGACGAGGATCAGGGCGATGGCGCCCTCCTTGCCCGGGGACACGTTCACCGCGCCGAGGCCCTTGGGGATGCCCTCGAAGCCAGGAATCTGGACGTAGTGCTGCACCACCGCGCCCAGAGCGGCCATCATCCCCACGCGGCCATGCTTGATCTCCGCGGTGCGCAGCTTGCGGAACGTGGGCTCGTTGGTGGTGAAGCCCGCGGGGTCGAAGTAGCCCAGCGGCGCCTGGGCCCCCACCTCGCCCGCGGGGTCCCACGAGGTGTAGGTGCCCGCGGCGCTGGCCTCGGCGTTCCACCTGCCGTCGGTGGCCGTGAAGGGGTCGAAGTCGTTGACCTTGTAGCCCTTCTTCAGGGCGTTCGACGCATCGCCGCCCACGCCGTCGGGGTTGCGCCCCGTCGCCGCCTCCCAGGCCATCTCGTTGCGCTTGCGCTTCTGCTCCATGGACTTCTTGTACTCCGGGCTGCCGACCTCCAGCTTCGAGAACTTCCGGTCCAGTGCCGGGTCGTAGGTGTCCGCCTCGCCGGCCTGCTGCGCCAGGCTCCCGGCGCCCGCGGAGCCGGCCACCGCCCCGGCCGTCTTGGCGGCGCCTGCCGCGGCGGCGGCCTTCGCGGCCGCTGCCGCGCCCGCCGCCGCCGCCGACGCGGGCTCGGCGCGGCGTGCCGTGCGCCCGCGGGCGGCCGCGCCGCCGCGGCGGCGGGCCCGGCGAGGCCCGCAGCGCCGCCGCGGGCCAGGGCGGGCGCCCCGGCCGGGGCGGCGGGGGCGGCGAGCCGGGAGGCCTGCGGCGGTGCCGCCGCGCGGGCCGCGGGGGCCCCGGGCGCCGCGGGCACGAAGGCCCGCGCCGCGAGGTGGCAGGCGCCGGCGGCCGCGGCGCCGCCTGCGAGGGCCGCGGCGGTGCGGGGCATGGCTGCCCGGGGGCGGGGGGGCTTCCGCTTCCCGCCGGCGCTGGGCCCGAGAGGCGGGCGCTGGCAGCTGCCCTTATGAGACGCAAGGCTTGGACCAGAATGGCCACGGACGGTGCGCCAGAGCAGCCGTGGAGCGGGGGGGTGAAAGGGGGGGGGGTCTCTGCCGGTGGGCTCCGCGGTGCCCAACCCTTGCAGTGCTCGGCACGGCGGCGGGGCGGGACGCGGCGAGACCGGGGCACCGTCCAGTGGCCGTGTCAACGTTAAAAATTGCGGTTGACGGGGGTCCCAGGCTTCCAGCTCCCGCCTTGTATTACTCACTGGGGCACGCGCGGAGTCGACCTTGCGTTGGACCACTGGCCGCGTCCACCCTGCAGATGCCCCGACCCCCGGCCCCCCCAGCCAGCGAGGCAGCCGACGAGGCAGCCAAGAAGGCAGCCCACGAGGCAGCCAACGAGACAGCCGGCGAGGCAGCCGGCGAGGCAGGCAGCCGGCGAGCAGACAGCCTGCGAGGCAGCCACCAATACCGCCTCCTCCCGACTCCCCATCTACTCTCTGACTCACGTCGGCACTCTCCCCACTCCTCCGGACTACTACTCCCCACCTCCATCGCATCCTCGCACCCTTCCCCATTCCCCCCCACCCGTTTCGCACTCCTTGGCACTCTCCCCCGCCCACTCCATTCGCCACCTCTCGTCACTTCTCAGCGCTCTTCCCGCAGCTCTCCCGGACTCCATCGCGACTCCTCGGCACCCCCCCCACTTCTCCAGCTTCCTCTCAATTCCATCGCGCTCCTGGCGATGCTTTTCCCACATCCCTGGGGCCCCCCTACTTCCGTCGCACTCTCAGCACTCCTCCCCAAAACTCCCCGGGGACTCTCCTACTCGATCGCACTCCTGGGACTTAGACCCCTCCCCAACTCCATCGCGCTCCCCAAACCTCTGGAGTCCTCCCCATGCCTCCCCACTTCGTCGCACTCCTCCCCACTCCCCTGGAGTCCCCCCCGCTCCATCACTCCTCGGCACTCCTCGCCACTCCTCCAGACTCTCCCACACTCCGTCGCACTCCTCAGCACTCCTCCATCCTCCTGCCCACTCCATGGCACTCCTCCCAACTCCTCTGGACTCCTCCCCGCTCCGTGGGGCCCCTCCTGTTGCCCGCCCCCCCACCCTCTCTCTACACTGCCGACGCGGCAGAGCAGGTGCGGCAACTGCGCAAGTTGCAGAGGATGGGCCCTTTCTGGTTTTCCCGGCGAGCTCGCCAGCCTCGCCATCGAGGCCCCCCCTCGGGACTCCCCATCCCAGGGCTCGGCGTTGAGCAACCTCGCCAGGGGCGCAGCGTCGGAACAGCACGCTTTTTCGTGCCGCCGCGGAGGCTGCTGTACCTCGACGGCTGGCCACCAACCCACCCAGAGGCCGCGATGTCGCGGCGGCTCGCCTTCGAGCGTGGCGGGCGCGAGGGGGGAGAGAAATCTACCGGCTCGCTGCGGTGGGAAGGGAGCGGCGCGGCCGGGCACCGACCAGATGTTTCGGCACCGTCTTGAGACAACAAAAAAGCACTCTGGCCTAGCCACCTCGGTGGCAACTGCCACGCACTGGGCCCAGAAGTCTTCGGAGGTCAGATCTCGATGCGTCAGCAACTGCTGCACATGGGACACGCTGGCCTGGCCACTGAAAATGTGGAGCCAGAGCTCCGCCGCACGCCAGAGGCACTGAGCGCACCTCTTGGCGGCGGTGCTCCGTCGCGCTCCCGTTTAAAAAAATCGTCGCAGGCGCGGGGCGCCGAGCGCCCCGTTCTGTGGTGCCCGACCTGGGGGGGGGAAAAGGGGAAGCAATGGGGGGGGGGGGGCACGAGCCGCCCCCCACAGAGGCCGAGCTGCACAACGGCGTCCTTGCCAGTCAGGAGCTCCGCAGCGATGATGCCGATGGCGGCGAACATGGCGAAGCGGCCATTGTTGATCTCGCGCGCGCGCATGTCCTCGGTGTACTGCCCGAGGCCCAGCGGGTCGCCGAAGTTGCCCGGCTCCTTGCTCTCGTCGTCGGTCCAGACCGCCAGCTCCAGCCCACCGCAGACGAGGATCAGGGCGATGGCGCCCTCCTTGCCCGGGGACACGTTCACCGCGCCGAGGCCCTTGGGGATGCCCTCGAAGCCAGGAATCTGGACGTAGTGCTGCACCACCGCGCCCAGAGCGGCCATCATCCCCACGCGGCCGTGCTTGATCTCCGCGGTGCGCAGCTTGCGGAACGTGGGCTCGTTGGTGGTGAAGCCCGCGGGGTCGAAGTAGCCCAGCGGCGCCTGGGCGCCCACCTCGCCCGCGGGGTCCCACGAGGTGTAGGTGCCCGCGGCGCTGGCCTCGGCGTTCCACCTGCCGTCGGTGGCCGTGAAGGGGTCGAAGTCGTTGACCTTGTAGCCCTTCTTCAGGGCGTTCGACGCATCGCCGCCCACGCCGTCGGGGTTGCGCCCCGTCGCCGCCTCCCAGGCCATCTCGTTGCGCTTGCGCTTCTGCTCCATGGACTTCTTGTACTCCGGGCTGCCGACCTCCAGCTTCGAGAACTTCCGGTCCAGTGCCGGGTCGTAGGTGTCCGCCTCGCCGGCCTGCTGCGCCAGGCTCCCGGCGCCCGCGGAGCCGGCCACCGCCCCGGCCGTCTTGGCGGCGCCTGCCGCGGCGGCGGCCTTCGCGGCCGCTGCCGCGCCCGCCGCCGCCGACACGGGCTCGGCGCGGCGTGCCGTGCGCCCGCGGGCGGCAGACGCCGCCGCGGCGGCGGCCCCGGCGAGTCCCGCCAGCGCCGCCGCGGGCAGGGCGGGCGCCCGGCCGGGGGCGGCGGGGGCGGCCGGGGCCTGCGGCGGTGCCGCCGCGCGGGCCGCGGGGGCCCCGGGCGCCGCGGGCACGAAGGCCCGCGCCGCGAGGTGGCAGGCGCCGGCGGCCGCGGCGCCGCCTGCGAGGGCCGCGGCGGTGCGGGGCATGGCTGCCCGGGGGCGGGGGGGCTTCCGCTTCCCGCCGGCGCTGGGCCCGAGAGGCGGGCGCTGGCAGCTGCCCTTATGAGACGCAAGGCTTGGACCAGAATGGCCACGGACGGTGCGCCAGAGCAGCCGTGGAGCGGGGGGGTGAAAGGGGGGGGGGTCTCTGCCGGTGGGCTCCGCGGTGCCCAACCCTTGCAGTGCTCGGCACGGCGGCGGGGCGGGACGCGGCGAGACCGGGGCACCGTCCAGTGGCCGTGTCAACGTTAAAAATTGCGGTTGACGGGGGTCCCAGGCTTCCAGCTCCCGCCTTGTATTACTCACTGGGGCACGCGCGGAGTCGACCTTGCGTTGGACCACTGGCCGCGTCCACCCTGCAGATGCCCCGACCCCCGGCCCCCCCAGCCAGCGAGGCAGCCGACGAGGCAGCCAAGAAGGCAGCCAACGAGGCAGCCAACGAGACAGCCGGCGAGGCAGCCGGCGAGGCAGCCAACAACGCAGTCGACCAGGCAGCCAACGAGGCAGCCGACCAGGCAGCCAACGAGGTCTCAACAAGGCAGCCGACCAGGCAACCGACGAGGCAGCCAAGAGGGCAGCCAACGGAGCAGCCAACGAAGCAGCCGACGAGGCAGCCGGCGAGGCAACCAACGAACGAGGCAGCCAACAAGGCAGTCGACCGGGCAGCCAACGAGGCAGCCAACGATGTCTGAACAAGGCAGCCGACCAAGCAACCGACGAGGCAGCCAAAAAGGCAGCCGACAAGGCAGACGACCAGGCAACCGACGAGGCAACCAACAAGGCAGCCGACAAAGCCAACGAGTCAACCCACCAGGCGACGAGGAAGCCAATGAAGGGTCCGACCAGGCAGCCAACGAGGCCGCCGACCTCCCCCAGGGCTCGACAACTAGTTTAAGGATGGAGGGTTCCCCAACGAACTCCTCAACGCACCTCCAGAGCCCTTGGGGCCTCCAAATCCAGCATCCGTCGCCTCCAAAACGCACCATAAGCTTTCCAAACCCGCCCAAGAGTAGCGCTAACACGCCCGAACTGCCTGAAAAACTGTGCAAATAACCTCCAAACGGCCAGAGAGACCCCCAAGACGCCTCAAACGGACCCAACAAAAAAACCCATGGGAGCAAAGCAAGAAGCAACAATCATCAACTGTCCCAAGCCCTGGGCAGTCCGCGACGCACCCACACACGTGCCCATCACGGCGCAGGAAGCCCTGAGAAGGGCCCAGGGACGGCTCAGGCGAACCCCAAGATGGCGGAAGGCGGCAACGAGGACATATGAATCTAAAATCCGCACGTACTCTCTTCTGGGGTCGGCGGAAAGGCGTTTTCCAAAATGATACCCGAGAAAAACCCAAATCAAAGTCATTTCAGTGCTATATGGCTATAGGGCAATCGGGCTATAGGGCGATGGGGTTATGGGGCTATATGGCTATGGAACTATAGGGCCGTTGGGCCATGGGGATATAGGTCTACATGGCTATAGGGCTACAGGGCTATATGGCCATAGGGCTATCGGGCTGTAGGGCTATCAGGCTATGGGGCGATGGGGCTATGGGGCGATGGGGCTATAGGGCTATAGGGCTGTGGGGCTATAGGGCTATAGGGCTTTAGGGCTATGGGGCTATAGGGCTATAAGGCTATAGGGCTACAGGGCTATAGGGCTATAGGGCTTTAGGGGTATGAAGCTATAGGGCTATAGGGCTATAAGGCTATAGGACCATAGGGCTATAGGGATATAGGGCTATAGGGCTGTAGGGCTGTAGGGCTATAGGGCTATATGGCTATAGGGCTATGGGGCTATAGGACTATTGGGCCATAGGGCGATGGGGCAATGGGGCTATAGGACTATGGAACTATAGGGCTATAGGGCTGTAGGGCTGTAGGGCTATAGGGCTACGGGGCTATAGGGCTATAGGGCTATAGGGCTTCAGGGCTGTAGGGCTATAGGGTTATGGGGCTATAGGGCTATAGGGCTACAGGGCTATGGGGCTATAGGGCTATAGGGCTATAGGGCTTTACGGATATGGCACTATACGGCTATAGGGCTATAGAGCTACAGGGCTATAGGGCTATAGGGCTGTAGGGCTGTAGGGCTGTAGGGCTGTAGGGCTATAGGGCCATAGGGCTATAGGGCTATTGGGCCATAGGGCGATGGGGCAATGGGGTTATAGGGCTATGGAACTATAGGGTTATAGGGCTGTGGGGCTGTAGGGGCTATAGGGCTACAGGGCTATAGGGCTATAGTGCTATAGGGCTATAGGGCTATAGGGCTATGAGGCTATAGGGCTACAGGGCGGTTGGGCTATAGGGCTTTAGGGATATGGAGCTAAAGGGCTATAGGGCTATAGGGCTACAAGGGAATTGGACTATGGAGCTATAGAGTTTTAGGGCTATGGGGCTATGAGGCTATAAGGCTATAGGGCTATAGGGCTATGGGGCTATATGGCTATAGGCGTATAGGGCTGTAGGGCTATAGGGCTATAGGGCCATAGGGCTATAGGGCTATAGGGCTATAGGGCAATAGGGCTATAGGGCTATAGGGCTGTATGGTTGTGGAGCTTTAGGGCTATAGGGCTATAGGGTAGGGCTATACGGCTGTAGGGCTATATGGCTACAGGGCGATAGGGCTATGGGGCTATGAGGCTATGGGCTATGGGGCACCCGGTCGGGCCGCCGAAATCGGCGACGCAGCTCCCGGGCACCCGGGCCTCCGGGCACCAAGGCGGGCTGCCGAAATCGGCATCGCAGCTAACCTAACCATATGAATCCGCTAGGACTCCTACGGAGGCAAACTTCCGCGCCTCCGATTTCATTGTTCAGGGATTCGCGCAAGACACGGTTTGCAAAAGTGCATGTTTTGTTCGAAACGACTTGTTCGACAGACGCGAACTTTGAAGCTGGGATCCGGGGCTTGGCCCCGCTTCAATCTGTCTTAGAGATGAGCTGTTTTCCCCCGAAAGCCTCGGCATGAGCGTCCTCCCTGCCATCCCTGTCCCAAAAAACCATACAAAATGCACGTGACGGCAAAGTTTGAATCATGACCGGGCGCTCCGCGACCACTCCGCACGGCTCTTGACACGGATGGCGCGTGTGTGATCACATTCGTCCGCCGTACGCCGCCCCACTCTCCCTGTCAAGAGCAGATGCGAACTCACTGCGGGGGTGCCCACACCACGCACAATTCTGACAACCCATCGCTGCTACGCGCTGGCTTTTGACAGAGATGGTGGTGGGCGACACCTTCCTCGATGCGTGCTGACAAGTGCGCTGAGGTTCCTGTCGCCGCCCAGCGCACTCTGCGCGCGTCGCGTACGTGGTGCACATGGCGCGGCTGGAGCGTGTGGCAGAACTGGCGCACGTGATGCACCTCATGAACGTCGCGCACCTGGCGTATGCATCGGGTAGCGACATGTGCTTCTGCTCAGTCCGTGGTGCTACTGAAGGACGCAAGATTTTCCTCTTGAGGTGAAAAGGGCGATGATGAGTTTGATAGATAACATCGGCACCGCCGAACGGACGGCGTATGGACGAGCTGCGTGCAGCTCGTCCAGGAGGAGAAAGAGATGCATTCATGTTGAGTGGGGCCCCCGCGAGCGGAAAGGTGATGGGAGTGAACGAGACAGCACAGAACCCATCCTGGGACGTTGGTGACCGAACCCCCTTCCCCCGCAAAATCTTAACACGGGCGGGTTCGGGGGTCCGCGGATCCGATTTCGTCTGGCTCCCCGCTTTAGATCAATAAAATTACCCCAGTGCGACCCTACCTAGAAGTTGGAGCCCCTAGGAAGGCAGCATTAGTTGCTATGCTATGCTATGTTATGCTATGCCATGCTATGCTGCGCTATGCTATGCTATGATATGCTGCGCTATGCTATGCTATGCTATGTTATGATATGCTGTGCTATGCTACGCTATGCTAAGCTATGCTATGTAATGCTGTGCTGTGCTATGCTAAGCTAAGCTGTGATATGCTATGATATGCTAAGTTGCGCTATGCTACGCTATGCTATGCTATGATATGATATGTTATGCTATGCTATGCTGCGCTATGCTATGTTATGATATGCTTGGTTATGTTATGCTATGCTATGTTATGTTAATGCAGCGCCGCGCTATGCTAAGCAAAGCTAAGCTAAGCTAACCATCTAGGCAGAGCCTAGGAAGGGAATTACACCCATGCTAATCAAGCTAAGCTAAGCTAAGATGAAATAAGCTAAGCTAAGATGAGATAAGCAACGCTAAGCCAAGGGAGCGTCACTGGGGAAACCGCGGGGCGGATCCTGGGGGAACCGCCCGGGGCGTGGAACACTGCCCGGCCTTTTAAGCCAACACGGTAAGAACCCTTCTAGGCAGAGCCTGGGTAGGGAATAACTAAAACACGGTGTAAACATCGGATCCGCCGTAAAAAAAGGCCGGACGCGGATCCAAAAAATCTGAAATCGGATCCGCGCGGACAGAAATCGGATCCACCGAAACAAAAACCAACACCACACATGGATCCGCTCGACCTTCATGGGATCCGACGGCGGTTGTCTCACTCGCGTCTGCTCAAGACTTTCATAAGGAGCCGAACTCTATACACCGACGCCTTTCTCTGGCCTCGCACTGAGTCTCGCACAGGAAAGCGGATCCTGGTGTACACGGGATCCTGGTGTATACATTCTTACCACACCAACCCGACGTCGTCCCCGACCGTCCAAGACATCCTGGGATTGAAAAGCCGCCCGCCACTGGTAATGTAGATGCTCCAGTTTCCGATTTAAACCATCCTTCCGGGCGCAAGAGGAACAATTTTCGCCCTGGAGATGCAGTCTGGTGGGAGGGCGGGTGGGAGTGAGCGAGACAGCCTGTAGCGCACCCGTCGGAAACTTGAACGAGGAGGAGGAGGAGGAGGTCTGGGAGGGTCTATTCTGACCCAAGATGGTTTCAAGATGGTCTCAGACAGGACAGCCTCCAAGATGACCTCCAAGACGAGACAGGACAGCCTCAGCC